TGCTGCAAGAACCCACCGCCAATACTGGGATATCCTGTGCCCCTTGGGATGCTGAAGAAGTGTAAGGAAGATGGAGTGAGACTATGAGGTGCAAGGTGCAGGTGAAGTGATGGGACAGGGACGGTATTTTGAGTGTTGAGAAGGTGCAGTAGGAAAATGGAAGAAGTGGACAATGGACTCTGGCTTTCTTGCTCACTTAAGATCCAGCATGCATTTGAGAGCTGCTGCTGTGGTGGATGGGCCCGGTAGCACTTGCCAAGTAAAGTTACAAAATCCTGAAGTAGTCACACCTGAGCTTTTGTCACTTGCAAGCAAGGTCATCAAATTTTCATGCCCACCTGGCAAAACAAGTTCCATTTGCATGATAAACACTGATTATCCACAGATAATGTCATACCTGACCTGTAACAAATTCTTGAACTTGCACTCCCCAGCAGTGTGTATTTTAAAAAGCTGATTTGGCCACATGTCAGCATAGCACGGCTGTTACTTAATTTAACAAAAGTTAATTAACCTGATATCATATCGATGAGTGTATTGGAAAAACATACGTATTTGGGAAAGTGTATGACTGGACTGTACCTCAACTTTGTTCTGTTATTTGCGGGTTAAAACAAATGTTTGGCCCTTGATAGCCTTCCTACTGTTACCGTTTTCCTAGTGGTTTTCTTTTTTCTTTAATGTTGCTGTTTTCCTGTGCTTAAAATAGTTGTGTGTGTGGTTTGGATGGCTGGTTGAAAGCCTTTGATATCAATACTGTATTCTTGCCGTCTTCACTAAGTAATGACAGTCGGCCAAAATGCACGTGTGGCTGACCATGACCATTGCTTTTCACGTCGGCTGTCTTGCATCTATGTTTTGCAAAAATATCCAGTTGTATTTGAAAATTTCTCATTATTTCTGTAACACTTGCTCTACAGCATGTTAAAATTACAGCTGTCTTTTAATTTAAAATTTATAGAAGTTAGCTGATTTGATGAGGGAACTTCCTATGACCCAAGGCATAAGCTTTGCTTAATATTTATGCCGATTGGTGGTTTGAGAGCAGGAGGCCAAAGTATTTGTGGGGGAGGTAAAAGTCACCTCCTGTGTTTCTGGCTGCCCTCTCTCACTATAACCATAGCTGAGAACCAGGTGCTGCAGCCCTGCGTGATGCCAGCTGCCTCCCACCATGGTGTGCCAGTCTCACGCCAGTTAAAAGGAGAAGATTGGAAGTCAGGAGCTGTGTCCTTATGTGACACTGGGATGGGAACAAAATCCAGGCTGCTGACAACGTGTTTAATGTTTTAGGCTTCCTTTTTTTTCCATCATGTGTTTCAGAAGCATAGTGGTAGCTTTTAAAATGCATAAAATAGAGGAGGTTATTTATCCCTCCCTAGTAAACTTTATTAGTGCCTTTGCCCTGTCAGAGTGCTGAGCAGAATTCAAACCCCGAAGTCCAGGAAATTATGAGATAAAGGCCAGCACAAACCTTAATGTAATCTTAATTCTGCCCAAGGACCTGATGATACCTGTTGGAACAGTTCAGTAACAGGAGTACCATAAAAAGCAGGTGTGAAAAACTGAGAAAATACATTTTTGTTTGCATTTTCAGCTTTCATTGTATATGTTCCAGCTTAAAGTAGCTGGGAAATACTTTAGCAAAGGAAAGCGTACCTGTTAGCTCGCAGCAAGTGCTGCCTTCGAGGAAGCAAGTGGACCTGTTTAAGGATGGGATTTGTTAGGTTGCGTTGTTAATGGCAAACAAGGTTTTCTTCTCACGTGCATTGCCGGTGATGTGATGTGATGCGATGCGACGCGACATGACAGTTGGTAGTTGGTGGGCGCAACGAGATGTCATGGAGGGAAGGAATCCTCCGATCAAAGGTGGAGGATTTGTAACATTTAGTGCATCTGAGAACATTTTAAAATGTACAGCAGGAACATTTGCTGTAGATCTTTTTTGCTTTAGATGACTAACCCAAAGTTGGCTGTGGCCCATGGTGGCTCTGCTTTCTTCCTAGGGGTGTTGTAGTGCTCGTAACATGGAAAGACGATGTTCTTAAAGAAGGTTTCAGCTGCACTTTGGTGCTTATATTACCTTAGCCTCTTATTTCCAATTTAAGTTGTGAGGATTTTGCTACCCTTCACATTTCTGAAGGATGTTTCTGCTTGTAAGGTCTTCAGATATTTTGTATGTTAACTACATTTAATAAATATTTTTTCAGTATTGTCATGCAACAGATTTTCTTCTTTTTTTTAGGGCAGGGAAGGCATGTGTCTAGGAGCCTAACAGTATGATGTTCCCCTGGGATACAGGAGACCTGGATTTTAATTCCCTTGACCTGGAAGACAAGAATAGGCATACTGAGTCAAATCAGGGTTCATTTTGTATTCATCTACTGTTCTGTCTCAGGCAGGGCCAGTACTAGGTGAATAAGGTATCAACAGCTCAGCAGCAGAACGGTACTTCGGTCTTTTCAGCTTTTTGATGTCTGCCTCTTTATGTGTAGTAATGCTTGATGTACTTTTCTTACATAAATTCATCTAATGAGAGATCAGATCTGTCATGTCTCAGAAGGTAGACTCAATTCCTTTCATAAAATAAAAAGGGAAATATTTATGTGAGACTACAGCTGGTGATGTTCTGAGGCTGATCCCAGGCTAGCTCGGCAGCGGCACATGCCTCTTCAGATCTGAGCCCGGGTCTCCATGGTTTCCTTGGGCATGGGGACTGGAAGCGAGTGGTGTTCCTGACAGAGTGTGATGGGTGGTTTCTGTAAGAAATGGTGTGACTTCAGGAGAGGATTCTTAGTTGAACAGTCTGAAAAACTGTAGATACCTTTCTTAAGCCTGAAGGCAGTCCAAGACTACCTTTACACCTTCTGCTGACCACCACTTATCTCAGTATTTTCTGTGGAGCTTGTTCAAAGGAGCACTGTAGGGCGAAGTGAATCCCAGTGAGGTCCTGGAAGTTGCAGCCTCACAGTCTCTCTATGGATTTAGCTGTCAGTGTTTAATTTCCTTTCATCGTGTTTGGTTCCATTTTCTCAGAGGGAGGTGAAGACTGTGCAGGGTAACAGAGCCTTTCCCACATACTAAACGTTTTCAGCTTTTTTCTTGTTGGCATTGATGGATCGGCTGTTCTTAATGCAAAATTTAACTTCCCATATGAACTTCAGAGCGCATTGACCCAACTTCGAGATGAGTCCGTACGCTGCCCTCGGGACGTTCACTGAAATGCCTGTCCTGAACCCCAATGCCTGGGACAGTCTCAGATTCAACATACAAACACAACGTTGTCCTACTGACCCACAGTGGCTGTCTTACGAGACTGCCTACAGGTTGTCTAGCATCAGATGCCTAGCTGCATATGACAGTTTCTTTTTTAATGCTTCACATCGCTCAGCACAGGTAGAATTAAGCCCTTAATAATGTTTTCATTATTGCTTTCCCGGTAGGACACTGGGTGTCAGCAAATTGCAAAGTAAGCTGAGCCAGTAAAGGAATTCTGGAATACTTGCAGAGTTCCTTTTGGAGAGGAGAGACCTGAGCTCCTGTGATTTGTTGGGTTTGGGAAGCACTTGCTAATGTTAGCTAAAAGCCTTTCCTCCCCTGCAATACTCTGCTCTCTTCCTTTTGTCACACGACCTTCCTCTCCTATCTCTACAAAACGGCTTTCATGCAATCTGGCATGTCAGCTGTTGCCTTTGTGCATTGTGTTGGGTCTGGGATAAAGCGTAAGCTCTACAGCCCTGGTGCTTTATAGTACGGCGTGAACACTGATGGTGCTCTGGTTAAGAAAAAAGCAACCAAGCAAACTTACAATTAACAATAACTAATCAGATTTGGGAACTGTGAGCTCCTAGAAGTAGCTTCATTTTTAAAGGTTTTCTTTTTCTTGCCCATTTAAAGCTCCTCACCTTGGTGTTTTTGTTATGGAAAACTGCATTGGTAGGGAACAGACTTGTGTGTACATCTTAGTATTACATGATTTATCTTCAGAAAGCTAATTAGTGCTTGAAGTAGAAGGTAATCTACTTCACAAGTATAATTTACGTCCCTTGTCTTAGAAACAGCAGCAAGCAACCACACTGCAGGACATCACCTTAAGAAAGAACAAGTACTGGTCTTTTTCTGTACATCTTTTCTGTATGTTCCTATTTCTAGAAGCTTTTTCTGCTACCCTAATGTGTGTCAGTGTGAACGCTATGCAGACACAGTACAAGCCGCTGCAGCAGAGCTCCTCCGGGGAGGTAGCTTGATCAGCCCTAGGGTGAGCTCTTAAATAGGGGAGGTGACAGACTGTAGAAAAGAGGCAGAGATGTGAAATCTTTGAAAAGAGGAATATGACTCTACCTTCTGGGGGGGGGGCAATTCTGTTACACACTGTAAGCATAAATAGAAAGCAATTCTATTATATGTTGTGGGCCATAAGTCGAGCATCCATCCTGACTTCCCTTGCTGTAGAGAGCAGTTAGAAATCAAACTCACATGGACCCTCTAAAGTACAGAACTAAAAAAACCCCAACTGTGCTATAATCAAGCACCAGGGTGCTGACAGAACCTCCCTGGTGCAGATCAGTACTAAGACCACGATCCATCCTCTTGAGAAATACGTTTTGTGTGTTAGTTTGCTTGGTTTTTACTCAAAACCCTGTTGGTTTAGGCATGAATTAGCAAGGCAGCGTTGGCACTGTGAGTAAGCGTGACATGCCTTCCGTCAGCCATCCTGTTTTCAAACACTTTTTAGAGCTGACTACAGGTATTGGTGTGGGCACTAAGCATCTTTACTTGCGGCAGCCTATGTATCTCATTTTGAGAAGGGCCAAAAGCTGCAGCCAAGGCACCGGGTGATGTAAAAATGAAGGTGCTCCAGCTCTGGCTGTAATCAACGCGCTGTCAAGTTGATCAGCCTTTGGAAGCAGAGGGGAGGAGAAAATAGAAAATGGAGTGCCGGGGAGCTGAAAACGGAAGCCGATGCACGGTTTGACCTCCGCGTGTTTGTTCTTCGTTGACAGATTGATGACGCCTGGGAGCGAAATTCGCTTTGTCCATAAGCACATGGGGCTGGTGCCGGGCTGGGGAGGAGCTGCCCGGCTGGTGGGCATCGTCGGCAGCGGGGCTGCCCTCCGGCTGCTGAGCGGGGCTGCCCGGCTGGACCCCGAGAGCGCGCTGCGCCTTGGGCTCTCCGAGGAGACGCTGTCCTCTTCGGACGAAACTGGAGCGCTGGAAGAAGCCCGAGCCTGGCTGAGTGGGTACACGGAGGGTCCAGCCAGTGTGATTCGGGCTGCGAAAGAGGTGGTGACAGCGGGAAGGGACCTACCGGTGGAAGCTGCCCTAAGGAGAGAGAAGGACGTTTTCGGAACTGTGTGGGGCGGGCCTGCCAATTTGCAGGCGTTGGTTAGAAGACCAAAACATAAATGACAGCGCATAAGAAATGTTCTTGACCTTTTTGCAAACAAAGCTTTCGCTAAAGCAGGCATTAAACGGAACCATTTAAGGGCTTGTTCATTTAAACTGGCGCTAACGTTCTTGTCGCTCATGTCAGGCAGACACATTTGGTGTGCAACCACAGAGAAATCCCCGGCAGATTCTTTACTGTCCTAATCACCCGCTGAATGGCGATCAGTGAAATTAGTATGTAAAGGTAAATAATGTGCTGAGAATAGAACTATAATTCTTTTGGAATGAGACTGAAGATTATTTTCTTTGGAGTTAATTTTGTTTTTCTAACTGGTATGGAAATTAATTGCTTGAAAAATAGGAGGTTTGTTTATTTGCAGAACAGGTGCATCTAAAGCTGCGACATATGAGTTCCCCAACATGAGACCAGTGTCTAAGCAGCTTTGGAGGGATGATAACTGGTGAGATGATAGTTTTTATTTTTTCATCTTCAGTCAGTTCTTTGCATAATTGCTGAGAAAGTAGCCAAGGATACTTCAGTTTCAATGGTGATTTTTACAGGAGCAGCTCTAACTCCCTGAGGAGCTTATAGGCCTCATTCACTGACAGTGATTCAGGTCTTTAAATGCATTTAGGTTTCTTCTCACTGCTCAAGGAACCAACCACCCACGTACGCATCTGCACATTCCCATAGCCTGGACCTGTGCTGCTGAGCACATGCAAAGCTGCTGACCCGATTCTTTACATAGAATCTAGCTGAAATCTTGGAAGGCCATGATGTATCACGCTCCCAGGTGGGATGTCCTTGACTGACTGGGTTGCCTGAGTACTTCACCATTCTGGAACGACTTGTGCGTGGATCTGTCTACGTCTTACTTCAGAGTATTTTTACTGCTAGGGCATATTTGGGCTGACCGGAAGATTTGAAACTCAGTCTCCACTTCATGCCTGTGACTGTGCAAGTAATTAGATAACTCGGTGGGCAGGGTTTTCCCTTTAGAAATCAGAAACTGGCACCCAGTCCCTGCTTTGGCAGGTGATTCTTAAAATGGAACATCTGTGAGAGCAAAAGCAGGCAGACATATCCATGTCGGAGAGTTTCCTCTACTGTTGGTTAGGATGCACTTGTCTCTAAATCAGCAGGGGCTGAGATCTGAGCTCGGGGGAGCACGTGAAGGAGGAAGTTTTGGGCTGTGCAACATTGACATGCGTTCTCGCTCTGACAGGGCATAACTAACTCTAGACATGTGGAATAAGCTCCCTTAGGAAAAGGAGGTGATTCCTTGGATGGAAATCCCTGTTACAACTTCTACTGTGGCAGGATTCCTGAGTTTTAGACAGTGAGGTAACTGTGCATGTGTTTGAAGATCGTGGGGCAGATCAATGACGGGAATTAGGCTTGATTGCCTGTTAAGATTCTGCAGCTTTTGAGCAGATGCTGGGCTCTGCTGGGGATGTTTTACTATATGGCTTTCACAGCAGGGAGTGTGTATAGCCTGAAGCAACCAAAAGAAATGCTGAAGAAAGGGATGCGTTTGGAGCTGGCATCTCCGGGAGGATAAGGAACTTACACTGCCCTGTTGATTCAGCCTGTCTGCCTTCACACCTGAAACTGCTGCTGGAGGAAGATTTCAAATTTCTCTTCCCCCAAAAGAAGGTTCAATTTTTACTTCCAGGTTAGAGACAGGAATGGGAACATGGGAAAAGAGTAGTGTTCTGGTTTGTGCCTCTTCCCCCCCCTTCCCCATTTTTCTCCGCTAGCTCAGTTGTTAGTCCCATGTGCAGCTGGGTTCTTGCCCGTGCTCTAAAGGACTTCAAACCCATTACTTCTGAAATACGGGTGTTTTAATATAGTCAGGCAGTACTTGACTGTTTAGTAATGAACCTGTTCCGCTTTTCCTGAAGTTCCTCAAGACTCGCGAGGGATTCCAGACTGCCAACGTCACTGAACCTTCAGAGTGGGCTCCAGTCCATGCTCCTCCATTTTGAAGCACTGTCGTGAGTCAAAAAACTGTGCTTTAAAGGGCAACTGGTTATGTCTTTGCTAGTAGTAAGAATAAACTTGCCATTACTAATACTGTCATTATGATTTTTAAATGGGTGTAAAAATTGCTTAGAACCTGAGAGACCCTTGAATCATTTGGGTGGTTTGTTTTTTTTATTTTTCAGGTTTGCCAGGCTGTTAAGGCTCATTAGTGTATTCAGTGCAATGGGTGATATAAATATGAAAGGGAGGAAATTATAGCAGAAAAGCAGAATCTGTTTTACTTGCATGTTTTGAACTAGACCTGTGCTGCCAGTAAGTGAAACTCAGTATGTACACCTATTGGGGACCTCTTTCCATGAGCTTGCTTCTCATTTCACCAAATGCATTTCCCCAGCCATCCTCTCTGATTTGTATCAAAGGCCAATGTTTGCTTCTAAGAACAGGACCAATAATTAGCTAGTACTGAGACACTTTCAGATAAGGGAACAGAAACTCGTTTTGTTGGAATCACAAATATACCAAACATAGCTACAGGAGGTTCTGAAGATAATTACACGTGTTTGTTTTGACCAAGGATTTTGTGAGCAGCCTAATACTGTATTCTCTGGTTTCTTTTCTGTTTTAAAAGCAAGCACAGCCCTTCATATGAAAACCGGCCTAAGTAAATTACCATGAGTGCTAGCATGAGAGCTCCAGACTGAGTGAGATTAAATGGAATTCCATTTTACCAATTTCAAACCTAAATGCTTTATTTCATAAAATACTTGATCATCTGAAAGTGACAAATACCTGCAACCAGCACCTGATAAGCATTTATATTTTCTTTACAGTTATTAAAGACTACAAGCTTCATTTCGGTTTTTGTTCCCCTTCAGAAATGGCCTAAAACCAAACAAGCACTAAATGCACAAAATAAATTAGAAACCTCAAAACTGATACTCCCAGTCTTCTAATTAAACGGTGTGCTAGCTTTTGTGTTTCCTAGGGGTTAGTTTGCGAGGTCCCTCCTCGGCAAACTAGGTTTCCCGTTACATTGTGAAATGCCCGTCTTGTTCTCTTGCCTCTATGCACTGGGACAGCCTGAGTGCTTCATGGGGGTGTGGATTCTGTGCCAAGCGTTTGAAAGTTGGATTCTAGAGATTGCTTTTAGCAATATAGATACTTTATCATATTTGCTGCTGACAGAAATATACTTACCAAATGGGCAGTCTAGGCAAGCTAGGTGTTCTTGCTGAATGCTTGGTTCACTGTGTGATTTTTTTTTTTAACCATGACATAGGAATCCTATGTCTGTGGTTATCTGTTCTGGAAATGAAGAGATGCAGTAGATTTTATAGTGCTTTAATTTCCTTTCCATTCTGCTCCACTGTGCATTTCTCTAGCTATGCTGTACAAGTTGAAAATCACTTAATGCAAGGAGTAACAGAAAACCACATAATGCAGTGTGGCTGTGGCTTAGCTAAAATTGACAGAGAACCCATCTCCTACTGAAGGTAATAGTTTAAATATAGGATGGGAATTACCGGTTACTACTTTTTCCTTGCTTGATCTGGGGAGTGCATTTGCTACTCTGATGATTGGCTATTAAGCTCTCACCAGCCTTACTTTAACTAATTTTAGTACTTCACAGCTGCAGTCGGCCAGCAAGAGCCAAAAGCAGCATTATGGGTGTTTGGCTGAACAGAGGTCTGCCTCTCTGCTTTGGTCAAGAACTCCCAAGGGTAATCACTGATAAAATTATTTGTAGACTGTTTTGGCTGAAAATCCTGAAATTAAGTATATAGGGAGTCAAGTTCTTGTATTTTGCTTCTTGCTTTCTGCAATAGTACATACCCTCACATGAAGTAAAATGTATACACATAGCAGAAGTGTTCTTACTGAAGGTTTTTGCAGCACAAAGTCAGACTTTGATTAGAGCCACTGTGTGCTAACTCAAAACAGAAATAAGACAGCTGACAACTAACAAATAAAAGAAAAAAAGCATTCCATCCTCCTTCCTTCTGAAGTCCATGTTAATGAGCTGGCTTATTTCGTTGTGGAACGGGAAGGTGATTGTAAAAAATCTGTGATCAAGAGCATCCGTTCCTAGCTGAGAAAGAAGGTAATCTTCCTTCTTCCAGCTTAGTCTCTTCTGCACTTTTCCTTTGTTCGCTGACCCACTGATCTCATCTGTGGGCAGAGGAAACAAACTGGAGGCCTGGCACAGCTTTGCCCAAGATTTGACATGTCAGCCATCATTACAGTAAGGAGAATATTTTAGAAATTTAACTCTACCATTTTTAAAAATCAGCCCTTTTAGTTCCCTTCAGATGGTTGTTTGCCTACAACTTTTGTCTGAAGATGCATAGTACCTATGTATCAGCTACTGTCCCTTTCTATTCAAGGATATGTGTACTAAGAATTGGAGTTCAATTAGCCTTATTTTAAAGATTGAGTCCAGAGTCAGCTAATGCTGTTTCTCAATTTGAAAAAAATGTAAAACAACTGCCATAGACAGGAAAGACAAGCTGTGCTTTTCAAGATCTGGCTTCCAACCTTCTCTAATACACAGCAGTCAGTTTGTAGCAATCTAGGAGACACATTTCTAGTACAAGCACAAAACTACCTTTTCTGTGCTGCCACTAGTTTTGCTGTGAAGAACAGATAAAAAGCAATATAGTCCTTAACATGTCTTCTCTGTTATAGGGGCAAGTTTGATAACTTACGCTCTTTTATTTCAACATTACTGCTGTTAAAAATAAAGCTGTGTGTGATACTTCTGCCTGCCATAACAGTGAAGCGAGCTTTTGGATGAGCAGTGAGTGCTAAGCCTGCAACTCATAATTTTTCAGCAGAAAGATATACAGTGTTGAGTTTGAGAGATGGCCAGTCAGGGATGCAAGAACTTCAAGATACCACTCAGAGCCAGTCCTCCCTTTTGGCAAACACAGGAAGCTGTTTTATGACAGTTTTCTTTAAAGTTCCTCCAGTGAAGTTCAATTAAACTGGAGACATATCTAAGATTGTTACTGATAAAATGTAGTTTTATTAAATTATAAATTCCGTAACAAAAACGAGACAGATCAAGAAAGACCTCAAAAACAAAACTACAAGGACTAGATGGCAAAGCCAGTGAAAATGCCATGAAGAGTGTATAGGTAAGAATTTGCAACAAAAGTTAACAGCATTTTTACATTTCCATTGAAGGAAGGTAAATGATTGCTCTTGTCTAGTAAAAACACATTTTAACTCCAAACTCACATCTATTTTCTCACATTAAATTAAGCATCCTGCTCACACCCAGCATCTTGCCTGCTCCCACACTGCTTTAGTGTTCTTTTCATACATCAATCCATGCAGAAAGTAGTAAGACACTTAATGCAACAGTCAGATAATGAAGACAATTCAAGTTGTACAGCAGATATACATTGGCCAAAAAGGGATCGAGTATCTCCAAAGGGAAAATGCTACAAAATAAACACAAGACATTTTCAAGAAAACTGGGTATTGCTAAGCAGCTTTCAAACCATTAACAGGACAACCCAGTTTCGTACAGTTAGAGTCTTCCAGCTGAGACATATTAAGAGACTTGAGTTAAACAGGCCAAATCTGTTTCTCCCCCTCACCCCACCCTCCCACCAAACACACTGCTAGGTTTGAGTGCAACGCCAATGTGGACAGAAAATTTACAGATACAGGACTGAGTTTTTAATCGCATGGCTCTAGATTTAAACTTCAGTGACTGTGCACTGTCCATCTGGCCTTCTAGACCTTACGCTTGTGTTTACCCCCCCGCCCCCTGCCACTGGTCTATCCGCTCCCGACTGGCTTGCGTTTGCACTCGAGTGTCTCTGCTGGACAGAGGACAGGCGTTGCTGAAGGTGGGCCGATACATCCTCGCTATCGCTGCTAGCATCCGATTCGGTCTCCTCAACAGAGGTGTCAGGGGCTGGCACCCGACCAGAAGATGATGATTCGTGGTCTTCTTCTCCCTCTCCTCTATGACTCCTTTCAGCCATACTGTCTCCATTTATTTGTAAGTGGGCAAAAGAGTTCTCTAGAGAATTGCTCGCATCTGGTGATGGCGTTGAAGGACTCACCAGCTGACCATCCAGTGACGGCAGGGCCCTAGCAGAAATGGATGCTAGAGGCTGCACAGCTGCAGCCCCCAGCGTCAGTGTGCTGTCTGCACCATCGGCAGAGCTCTCTCTTGCCAGGTTGACAGTGTTAGCATCACAGTCCAACCTCAAGCCAGCCACTCCCTTCTTTGGTATATCTATTATGTCCCGTTTTATTTTTCTGCGGCGTCCGTGCTCATTTCTCCTATACTGAACCATATTTTCCAGATCTGCTACGTATAAAAACCCAGCGATTAGCATTTCAGTGCTCTTTTTACCCTTGGAAAAGGCATCTTCCAGCTCTCTGCTGGTACGTTCATCATACTGCCACCAACCATTTCTACCTTCATAGTACCAAGCGTATTCTCCATTGCCTCTGCTTGCCGCTTTGAGTTCTTCTGGTGACAATAAAGTTGGCTTGTCAAGAAAATCCTCTGGAATCTCCTGCCGGCAGAGTGCACACCGCTTCCCAAGCCAAGAAGCTCCCTTCACACACAGATAGCAGAAAACGTGTTTACAAGGCAGACTTACTGGATGGACACATGTTTGCAGACAGATAGCACATTCGGGGACTGTCAGGGAAGGTGCTGCGTTAGCACACGACTCATTCGTCTTCCTGTTTGTGGGAAGCATGTTGATTGAATGATCTATTTCACCACAGCCAGCCATCCTGCAAAGGATCAAAGATAGATTTAAATCAGTTTATTCTGTCCACTGAAACTGGCACCTTACATCACCTTTGACCTCAACATCCACAAAATGAGATGGTTACCTTAAGTTAAGGTAAGTTATCATTTATGAAGCTCAACTCAAAGAAACTGATAGGTTAACATTCTGTTTCCTGAGCTGACAGACTAAATCAAGTACTGGGAGAATTTCTTTTGCTAATCACCAATCTTTATCTGTTTAATTTTCAGCACATTATCATGCCAAGTTAGAAAACAAGCTTTGGAATTTCCTCCGTTCTTTCTCTGAAGTAGGTGTTGATTAGTGAACCTCCAGTCACCCAGCTACTTTGGAGCCTCCTCAGGAAATTTTAAGAAGCTGTGGTTCTTTCCTGAAGAGGTGATCTAGCTGCAAACATTGCACTTAAAACTATCTCTCTTCACAATACTGGTGATCATCCGTTTAAGGGATTGCCTGAACAGTACCTCAGACTAGATTTCCACAGTAGAAAATATGCCTGGCAGCAGCACCCGGCTGAAGTATTCTCCCACTCTGTTTCTTAGTCCCCATGCACCAAGGTATACCACCCCTCAAACTGGTCTCAGAACAACCACAGGGCCGCAGAACAAACCAGATTTGAAAACTGAGGTAGCTTTTTCAAAAGACACCCTGGATTCCTTTTTCCTAAACGTCAAGCGAACTCCCCGATATAGCCAAGTGCACCTCAAAAGGAATCACTGCAGCCCGGCAGAAGCAGCAGTATACTGCAGAAGACACACAACCGTGATTCAGTTGGTTTGTGAAGTCACTGCCTCTACCTTCTCTGGCCATATCTTATTTCTGTCATTAAAGATGATTTTGTAACAAACACTTAAGACAGCAGGGAATGCAAAACTGTGTCACTTTGGCATTGTGTAGGATTTCAGTAGTTGAAAAATTCTAGCCTAAATATGCAAATGCTTTCTCAACTACATATTTGCCATGGCAATCTTTCAGTCTGTTTCATGGTAATTTTCCTTTTATGTTTGTATTTATTAGCAATCAAACCCAAACACCAGATATCAAATGAGGGAGAAGAATGGGCTTGGGGGACGCAGGCCTAAAAAGGTGCCTTTTTTCATTTAAATCCCTAAGGAACTTTGAGGCTGATCTTCAGCAAAACAGCCTTTCAGTGAAACTAGTCTTTGTTGTACAAGCACCTAGGAATAGTTCATGCAAAACGATCACAGGCACGTGGGCCAAAAGGGACCTTTAGAGGTCATGTAGTCCAGTCTCCCACTCCACATGGCACTGCCACCAATACTAGATAGATCAGCTGTGGCTTTGTCTAGCTGAGTTTTTGGAAACCTGCAAGGATGGAGGTACCACAACCTCCCTGGATGGCCTGCTCTAGTGTTATACA